TCCTCTCTCTCTAATGCTCTCAACTGCATCACCTTACAGCCATTATGCTCCTTTCACTGATAAGAAAACCAGGTCTCGAGGTTAAAAAATACGCCCAATTACCCATTGAGTGAGTCCCAGAGTTCACATGATTCCAGGACTGTCTGACTTAAGACCTGCTGCCTTATCCATCCTACCAGGGGCTCTCCTTCTGGAAGCCTTTATCACAGACCGGCCATCAGGCCTTTGAAAATCCTCTTTTCGTAATTCGAATGCGCAGCCAGGGTGGAGGTCAACAAGTGACTGAAATACCACCCGAACTCCAGCTCTGCTCCACGCAAGCCGTGAGGAAACATCGCAGAGCCCGCTACACACGGGTGGAACACACGCCACCTGGAAGGTGTTCTTATCATGGGACCCATCTGTTTCCCAAGGAAACGAAAGGTGTGTACCAAGATTTATGTGCAAGGATGTTCATTCACGATAGTGCTATTTCAAACAGCCCCAAATTAACTCAGATGAACAATCAGAAATTCATAAATAGACCAATATGCATCTTCCAAAAAGTATAGATTCTTTAACCCATTTCTCATTTAGAAAAAAGTGCAACTTGCTGTCTTTACATAAACATGCGTTTGAGGCTGCAGCAAATCTGATTCTCCATGTAAAAATAAAATATAAAAACTGTTCCTGGGCTGGGCGCAGTGGCTCATGCCTGTAATACTAGCATTTTGGGAGGCTGAGGTGGGTGGATTGCCTGAGCTTAGGAGTTTGAGACCAGCCTGGGCAACACAGTGAAACCCCATCTCTATTAAAATACAAAAAATTAGCCAGGCTTGGTGGTGTGCGCCTGTAATCCCAGCTACTTGGGAGGCTGAGGCAGGAGAATCACTTGAACCTGGGAGATGCAGGTTGCAGTGAGCCGAGACAGCACCACTGCACTCCAGCCTGGGCGATCCAGCGAGACTCTCTTAAAATCAAAACAAAACAAAAACTGTTCTTGGAGTTATTTCTATACAGAACTTGTCTCTAATCCTAATGTAACATCATATACATTTCTGTTGCATTAGGATTAGAGATGAGTATTCTTGGGGCAAATAGGAAATGGGTTAAAAACTGGAAAATAAATAGACGTGGTGTTGAAAAATAATATTCATAGCATAATCCTATTAATCCTATTGTGAGATAAATAGATTTGAACACTTATATGGTTCAAAAACACTTGAATTTTTATTTAGATAAATATGGATGTACATATATAAGTATCCATGTACATGTATATATATTCTCATTTCCCCTTCTTACACAGGGAGTATACAACATATATTATTCTGTACATCTCTTTTCATTTATAAATCCTAAAGCTCTTTTTATATCTATATACAGGGGCACTTCACTACAGGTATTTTTCTTTTTTGTTTTTGAGACAGTCTTGCTCTGTCGCCCAGGCTGGAGTGCAGTGGCCGATCTCGGCTCACTGCAACCTCCGCCTCCTGGGTTTAAGTGATTCTCCTGCCTCAGCCTCCCGAGTAGCTGGGATTATAGGCTCCCACCACCACGCCCAACTAATTTTTGTGTTTTTAGTAGAGACAGGGTTTCACCAGTTTATCAGGCTGGTCCCAAACTTTTGACCTCAAGTGATTCACCCACCTCAGCCTTCCAAAGTGCTGGAATTACAAGCGTGAGCCACCGTGCCTGGCTAAATACCGGTATTTTTCACTGGTGAACATACTTTTAATCAGTGCCTTGGTTTAGTTCCAATCTTTTGCTATTATAAAAAATGCTGAAATGAATAATAGTGTTTTATGTCATTTGAACATGTACACTGATAATTCTGATAGATACCACCAACCTGCCCTCCATAGAAATAGCCCGAAACCCTTCTCCCACAATGTGTGTGAGAGCTGAGAGCGTACTGCTAAATGTCGGGGTTTTGCTAATTTGACAGGTGAAAATAGTACCACATTGTGGTTTTGTTTTTTTTCTTACTGTGAGTGAAGATAAACATCTTTTTACGTTTAAGGTCTATTTTATATTATTCTGTACCGTAGTTGTTCATGTCCTTTGACCATGTTTTCTACTGAGTAGTAATACAAATAGGCATGACACTCATTTATATGTGTGACTGTGTATTTCTGCAAAGACAAAACAAAATGTTCCATGTATAGTAGGTGGGTGAAAAAATGATAAGTGACTGTGTGTTTTCTGTTTTCTCCAGTGAATCCTTTTAAAGTAAACATTTTTATACATTAGAATTAAAACAATGTGTTACCGAACATTGGGAAGGTTTTCTGGTTTGCCTACAATCAGCTTCAGTTTCTGTGAAACATGTTCTTTTGGAAACCAAGTAGAGAATCCTATTTGTAAACAAAGTAAGAACAACCAGACTTAAGAAAGATCAAATTTAATTTAGATCTACTCCTTGATTCTCATGAATTGATTGAATCTCTTTAGGGCAAATACCTGGCCTCTATAGAGAAATCTGGAATGATTTCTGCACTGGGAGAGGAAACTTTCAGATCACTAAGGGCTCTGTGGGGCCGATATCACTGGCCGGGGTACTGGGCAATGTGGCAACGTCTCCTGTGGTTTCACACTTCTTAGCGATTTCCTTCCCTAGTGCAAGCTGGGCTGCCCTGAACTTCAGCAGTGTAGAGACAGAACACAGTGGTGGTGGAGGAGGCAGAGTGGGTGGTGGGAGGGTGCTGATGTGGCTGATGGTGTTTTATTTTCTCAGGCTTCTTTTGTTTACATGCTCTGTCAAATGTGGTTGATTCATGGAAAATGCTCAAAGTCAAACCGGCCCCTACCGGTTGGGCCTGTGCATGAGGTGGCTAGGGTGTCATAAGACAAAACGAGGACGGTTAAACCACAACCAACTTTGCTCACTTTCAAGAGCCCACAGCTAATAGAAATAGAATATCTATCTTCACACATACAAGATCACTATCAAACACACTCTCCACGCTGTGGGTAGGTGGGGCTCCCTGCATTTGATACTCAAGGTTCATTAGCTACTAGCTGAGTTGGCAATCTGATGCCCAGGACTGTTCAGACACTGCATCTTCGGTCCACTCCCATGACACTGTTCTGAAGAGCAGAGGACATCTTGTGGCATGGAGATGATCCTAACATTCCATCCAGTATCTGCACCTTCCAGAGGCACCTGATTCAGAGACGCTAATACCTTTGGTTTCATTTCCTCAGTGTAAACAGGGTGACACAAGACTCATGAACCTATTAGCACAGGTAGATCATAGATGTGGGCAACAGTGATGTGCTTCTTTCTCCACAGGAAACCAGGGATATAGAAGCCCTGAGTTCAACTGTGTAACCAATGTCATAAATGGAATCATATCGAGTCCCTCTACAGAGACAAAATGACTTCAGCATCAACCAGAGCAAGGATTACTAGAGGACATTAACATCAGATAAATAAGTGATAGGGGTCCATCAGAGGATTGCTCAGCAATGTGAGCATAAAGGACAAACGGCTCCACTCCTACTCCACTGAAACATGGCAGAGTGGGTACCCACACCCCTGTGCTGAATCTATGCAGTCCCAGGGGAATATGTAACTGAATCGTTGAAATAATCACTGTAGGCTCCTACAGTCTGACTTCCTAGCATATTCAAATACTATACCTCATTCCTCTTGGTCTGTGCTTAGAGAGGTGACTTCTGAGCCAGACTCGGCTTCCTTTGAGGATTGGCAACATCCTACTGGTTCACTCAACATGTCTGCGTGAGAGCTCCTTCTCAGGTGAAGTGAACAACCTGATTGGCAGCTTAAGCATCATCTGTGGGGTTGGTGTATATGCAACTCCAATCCTGAAACAGGAGATTCTCACTCACATAACACCATTGAGTTCTAAGGTTTTAGTCTCAAGGCCAGACATTGGAGATTTTCCTCACCCCTCCTCCACTATGAGACACTCATCCTGGTTAGACTCCAGCCTCCCAGCAAGCCTCCCTGTTGCACTTTTGAGATCTGATCCACTCTTAGAACAAGCACAGATAGAAGTGACTTGATATGCACAAAATGTCAGTTTCTACCCAAGCCAGCATCATCACCACTACAGGCAATTAGGTTTTTCTTGAATGACACAATGAATGATGAAAGAAAACTAACAGACATCCTGACTTCCCATGAATCATTAAGGGGAATATTCATGTTTGAAAAAATAGCGCACAGTATAATTTAGTTCATTTTAATTGAAATTGGCTGAACGCAAAGGAAACATGATATGAATGGTTTAAGTCATTTTGTGCATTCAAAATAAGAGTATTTAGAACATTTCAGAACAATCTCAGAGAAAAACATGATTTCATGATAAAAGCAATACAAATGTCTGGTGACATTTTACATGTATTCGCAATCCCTCTTTCTTCCCCTTTTGCAGGTCCAACACTTCAGACCACATACATAATGCAAAACAAGAAACAAGCTAGCCACATTGACACGTTGGATTTTATTACACTTTTTAAAACTGTACAAAGAGCACATGTGCATGAGTTAAAAAACACAAGGGAAATGTAGGGTGTTAAAAAAAGAAATACAAAATAAATCTGAGACATGAAACAAAAAAATTCCATTCTATGAACTGAAATAAAAAGGTATCTTGCTTACTAAAAAAGTGTTATTTCAATATATTAAGTCTTTTGATTAGGAATACAGCACAAGACTTTCTTCACCTATTCATTAACACATCAGACTCAGTCTCACTGAAGAGAGGATGAATCATGACATTACCTTACCGGCCACAGGCAGGTGACTAAATGTGCATGGATATGGTACAATGTCTGTGAGGTATTACAATAAATAAATCTTTATTAGCTGTTCAATAAAGCCAGCAGTGGACGTCACCATTTCAACTTTACTGTCAACAGGGAGACTCGATTGCCGGCCTCTTTTTGCCTCGATGACTTTCTGTGAGGGTTTTTCACACTTAGAAAAAGAGAGAAGACAAAGTATTTGAGAAATAGCATTAAAACGCAAAATGCCATCGTCAGCTTACATGTACATAAAAGTCTGTGTGCTGAAGTGGGGCTGTGACAGACACACGAAGGACCATGGGTGTGGTCACACTAGAATTCATGTTAAAGTATTTCAGAAAAGGCTCAACTACCAGCATGCCCACCTTTTTGCTTTGTGTGTACATGACTGTGGTGGAGAGATGCAGCTGAGGTGTGCTGGGGGCTGAGGAGGCAGGCACAGGGGCTCCACGCGACATGACCTTGGCTGCCTCT